ACTGAGCGCCTGTGTTTACTTGTCAAATTACGTTTACATATTTTTCTCTCATCACGAAATCCTGTTCTTTCCGGCAGTATTCTAGCAGATACGAGTTGGGAGCCCCCCTAGAAAACGCTTTCTTCGCCCTCCCGCGGCCACACAGCTGCACTTCCACACACACACACACACACACTTGACAAATGCTCCACGAAAATGAATCCAATTTCTATATAATATATTTCTAGATAGACTAACAGCTTGTCTCGTCATAATTTAGAAAATTCAGTTCACAAGTTCATTGAAGATTTGGTTTCTACAGTCGTTTCCAGCTTTACAAATCAGTAACCGTTCAGTGTCAGGGCCCAAATTTGGATTGCAACCTGTTAATAATCATGCTCTTTTAAGGTTTGTTCCCCTATGTAAACAAACATGTAGTTTCCATTTGGCCTTTATTTTTTCCGTACATAAAAAAACAGACACCGATTCAAAGCAAACAATCAGCATGCTTACAGTTAATTAAGTAAACGGAACATTTCAAAACATCAGGTTGCACGCATTTCATAGTTGTCATCTCTGGCCTTAGTTCCCCGTGACTGCAGATTTTTCACTTTATGCGGGACAGGCCATCAAAATAACCACAGGTACTTAATTGATAACTTACCCCTGACGTCACAACAACGTCACGGGAGACATTCCAAATAAATTCTAGGGTGTTCAGGTTGTAGTTTCTCGCGATTTATCTACAGCCAAGTTTAGGGTTAGGGTTAGGGTTAGGGTTAGGATTAGAAGACACTAGATGAACACTCAGAAAAAAAACACACCAAACAACAGCACACTTGCACCCCTTGAAATAATGGACTGTCAGGTCAGCTGTGGATTTCCCACGGGGATATCGTGTTTGGGGTACGTTATAAATTAAGAACCTAATCACAACCCATCGCTGTAGATAGGAACTGTTTTCCAAACTCTCTCTCTCTCCACGGATTTGTCGATTACAGTTTTAATTTGTTTTTGAGGCATTCGCAAAATACTAGTCAAACAAAGATAAAAATAATTGACCGCTTTAGAAAAACAGCAGCACCTGTGTAATTGTATATTATAAAGTCATAAAGACATGGGAAACCTATGACCACATGCACAAATTCGTGTTGATCCGTACAAGAGTTTTCGAGATATTTGTTAAAGTTTAAGGGCACAACTTGTGAAATGCCTTATACTGTTTGAATAAATTTTAATGATTAGTTAAATGCATGGCATCCATATGTCTGGCTTGACAAGAGGACAGGAATGGCGAAGAGTGCACAAAGCGCACTACAGCGTACTATCCAAAATTCCTTCCAATTTGTAATGGTTCTAAGCGTGCCCTTTCGACTATGGGCAATCAACCATTTATTTCTCTCTGTTTTAAACTTTAAACGTTTTCTAGATCCTGGTTACTAGTTCAGTATGTTGCTATCTGTCTGCTATCCGTCAGTACCGATTTAGTTCACATCATTTGGTCTCATCAAATCTGGCTAATTAGTCACATTAGTACAGTGGTGAGTAAATATTAATAATTTTATTATTGCGCAATTAAACTAGGCTTCTGACTTTAGAGGGCCTTCGTCCATAAAAAATTACAAAGGAGTTCATACCATCCCATCTCCAATTTCGCCCTTCCCGCCTTCTTTTTAATTCTTTGTGGCGGCATGCCTTAACTCATCTGATATTGAACGCATAAGTGTAGCAATGTAAAGCATAGAAAAGAGCTCAGCGGGAGTCCGGACGCCTCGGGATCGATGAGAACATCAACAAAGGCAACATTCGACTCTCTGTCCTGGCTTCTGCACATGAATGTGCCGGCTATCCCAAATCGATGAGTTTCAATGGAAGTTAGAAAGCCAGGTTTCTAGTGTAAGCCAGTGTTGAGTCATAAAATAAACAGTACAGTAGGAGTTCTTGAACATGCATGAGAACATCAAATAACAATGCCAGTTTTATTAAAGGGAAGCAGCCGTGGTATAGTGGCTAGACGCTCGCCTGGAGATCGAAAGGTCGTGGGTTCGGTTCCTGACGAGGGCAGGTTTTTTTTCAAAATGACTTTGACTCCCAGGTTGACCCAACCATGATTGGGTAAAGGGTTTAGTGTACCTTGACGAGAGCGACGCTGTGTAAAGAACCTGTCGATTGATGACGATACGGATGAACGCAGATTCAGACTTTCGCTCCTGTTGAATTCATATCCGAACGGTGACTTTAAATCATCCTCATGTGCCATGCCAACTGGCGTAGGCGCTCATGCGTCTCCACAGATCACGATCCCTGGTTGACTGGAACAGCTCTCCTGCTGATATCCCTCTATGACATCGTTTCAGCCCATCCAGCATAGTCTCTCTTGGTCTGTCTCTACCCCTTTTCCACTGATCTTTCCAGTTGAAACGATGTTCTCCAATGCCTCTCTTCTCATTATGTGACCCAAGAACAGTGTCTCTTTCTTATTGTTGTTCTACTTGCATTAGCATCTTTCAAACAGTCGTTGTTCGTTAATCTGGCCCTCCAATGTATTCGTAACATTCCTCTCAGAAACCACATCTCTGTTGCTTCCAAATTCTTCTTAATTTGTTTAGTGACATTCCAAGATTCACTGCCATACAGCAGAAGAGTTTCTATGTAACATTTTTTTTTCTTTCTGAGATTAAATGAGAGCGATTTATTGCATAAGATATTTTTCATTTTCTGAAATGCAGCTTTCGCTTGACCTATTCTGCTTTTAATCACTGTCACACATTTTCCATCTGATGATATGATTTTTCCTAGATATTCAAATTTATTGACTTGGTTAAGTCTTTTTCCTTCAACTGAGATATCAGAACGTGGAATTATCTGCTTTGATATAACTATTACTTCCTTTCCCTTAATATTCAGTGATAGTGAGTGAGTGGCTTTTTATGGCTTTTTATACCCCACCAGGACATCACACAAGCGATAAACACCCGATGACACAAAGTGCCACCATGCGGATGAGGATCACCGTGGAGAGGTCCCAGAAACCGCGTTCAGACATTTGGCCATAATGATGACCTGCCTATATTGCGGCCCCTGGCAAAAGCCAGAGTGGGGCTTCAAATAACAAAAAATAACGTCATAACAAGGACGTACGGAGTGACTTTCTACCCCACTAGGATTCAGTGATAGTCCTTTCTTAGCACTCTCCATCCCCGCATTATCCAGCAATTGTTGCAGACTTAAATCTTCAGGCTGCAAATGTAGAGAATTTAATATTAAATTTGTGTTTTGTTTTTGGATCAGCACATGCCTTCTAGCGTCCTTTACTTCTATATTAGGTTTGGGTTGTAGTGGGAGCTGTCACGTGGGACATCTGACCTGGTTTTGATCAATGGTAAAGAATGGAGACTTACTCAGAGGGGAAACAACCGTGTTCACAGTTCTCTAACAGTCTATGGCCCCTGCACGGTGCTTGGATTCACGGCCATACTTGTTAACTTGAAACAGTGACGATACCTAATTACGTATTTTCTAATTTCTTATGTTATTTCAGTTTGAACATATGCTAATAAAAGTTGCAGAACCACTTAAAACATGCAATGAAAGTTAAATGCAGTGGGAACAAATATCTGATGAAAACAAGAGAGGTGGCGAAAAAAGAGAAATGTCTGGCCAACCAATGGTGTCAACGGTTATACGACAGACAAAATAGGGACTATTTTCGACACATTCTGAGAAGAAACAGAGGATCAGCAAACAGGCATAGAAATGGGAGATATGGGGACTGAAGAAGCGAGGAGGTAAAACCGAAACCTTAAGGCAAACGTTGACAGGACAAGCCCAACTGGATTGGATTCCATCAATGATAACGAAGTAATTGCACAGGACATAAAGGAATAGAGAAGTAGATTGTTCGCCCTATGTGACATATAATGGCACAAAAGTAAAATGAATGACATATAATGGCACAAAAGTAAAATGAATGACATATAATGACACAACAGGACAATGAATGACATATAATGGCACAAAAGGAGAATGAATGACATATAATGGCACAAAAGGAGAATGAATGACATATAATGGCACAATAGAACAATGAATGACATATAATGGCACAATAGAACAATGAATTACATATAATGACACAACAGGACAATGAATGACATATAATGGCACAAAAGGAGAATAAATGACATATAATGACACAAGAGAACAATGTATGATATAAAATGGCACAAAGGAGAATGAATGACATATAATGGCACAATAGAACAATGAATGACATATAATGGCACAATAGAACAATGAATGACATATAATGGCACAATAGAACAATGAATGACATATAATGGCCGAAAAGGAAAATGAATGACATATAATGGCACAATGGAACAATAAATGACATATAATGGTACAAAAGGAGAATGAATGACATATAATGACATAACAGGACAATGAATGACATATAATGGCACACTAGGTCAATGAATGACATATAATGGCACAATAGAACAATGAATGACATATAATGGCACAATAGAACAATGAATGACATATAATGGCACACTAGGACAATGAATGACATATAATGACACAATAGAACAATGAATGGCATATAATGACACAATAGAACAATGAATGACACATAATGACACAATAGAACAATGAATGACATATAATGATACAATAGAACAATGAATGACATATAATGACACAATAGAACAATGAATGGCATATAATGGGAAAAGGGAGAATGAATGACATATAATGGCACAATAGAACAATGAATGACATAAAATGGCAAAAAAGAGAATGAATGACATACAATAGCACACTAGGACAATGAATGACTTATAATGGCACGCTAGGACAATGAATGACATATAATGTCACAATAGAACAATAAATTTTTCAAAGACACTTACTCCCGCATTGACATTTATTGTGAATCCGTTTTTATAATCGTGCCGTTTTTGTTGTTGTCATGTATGTTTGTATATTTTGCAGTGTTGGGACTGACCTGTGTCCAGTGCGTGTCCATCGAATCGCCAGGCTGTTTGCATGGAGACATTACCCCTACACCCTGTATTGGCGCTGACTCAGGGTCGTCCTACTGCCTTAAATCGGTCGGCACCCAAGTTTCTGGTCATGGTAAGTTCCTCTTGTATCTCTTGAGGTCACAAGGTTTAACTTTCATTAGAACTTTAAGAAAAGTCAGGCAAAGAGAGGGGAGACCATCATTGTTTGTCTCACCGCCTATTCTTCCTGTGCCTCTTATACCCCCACCCCCTTTCTTCTTCCCACTTTCATCCTGCTACTCTTCATTCTTCTTCTTCTTCTTCTTCTTCTTCTTCCTCTTCTTCTTCTTCTTCTTATTATTATTATTATTATTATTATTATTATTATTATAATAAATCTGTTTCTATATATTTTCTTCTTTCAATCTTCTTCTATTTCTCCTCCTTTATAAATCGCAACTTCGTCCTTCTTAGGACGAAATTTTTTGTCATTTGAAGCCCTACTCTGGCTTTTGCCGGGGGCCGCAATATAGGCAGGCCATATGTGGCCAAGTGTCTGAACGCGGTTTCTGGGACCTCTCCACGGCGATCCTCATCCGCATGGTGGCACTTTGTGTCATCGGGTGTTTGTCGTTTGTGTGATGTCCTGGTGGGGTAGAAATTCAGTTCAGTTCAGTTCTCCTCCTTTACTCCTTCTCCGCCTCCTTATATTCTTCCTCCTGCTGTTATTCTTCTTCTTCTTCTTCTTTTTCGTTATCTTCTTCTTCTTCTTTTTCGTTATCTTCTCCTCCTTCTCTTTCTCTGCTTCCTTCTCCCCATCCTCTTCCTCCTCCTGCTTCTCTTCTTATTCTTCTTCTTCGTCAGTGACACTTTTATTTTCCGTTTATTATCAACTAAATAAAGATGCTGTGACATTTTTTCGGGAATTGCAACTATCCGGCTGTGTCAATTAGAAGAATAATTTTAGCATTCAAGTGAAATGCCCGTTAGCAACAAATAATGTTCGTTATACAACAGCTTGGCTTTTTACCCCAAAGGACACATTACGATACACTGAGACTAGGGAAAAGAGCAGACAGTGTATTGATTAGCACACATACAGAGAAGCAGAAAGAAAGAATGAGACATTAGACAACTGTCAGAACCCTGTCTTAACAGTCATGGGTCGGTACTGACCATAGGGACGGTGGACTGTATGTGCGTACAGAAAGCTGAGTTGACGGACCGGTCATCACGGTGTAGGCATGACTGTTTTATGTACGCGTGGAAACTACAGTTCATCTATAGTTGACTGCTACAAAGTGTGACTGGACGGGTGTGTCTTGGTGAATCGAATGCTCCACTGACGAGGCCACGTACACGGCCGAGACGGAGTTCACGAACTGTGACAACAAATCCACGAGGTTGTGGGACAAGTATGATTCAGACAAGAGACAGAAGACGTGATTGTTGGACAGCGTAGAATGTCAGGGTGGTAGAATAATATTTTAGTGACCGGATAGATTGTGCTAAGTGTTATGTTATGGTAGTATAGCTTCTCCATGTTGTGCAGCGTCCAGCGGCGACAGGTGTTGTGTTGTCCTTTATTGCGTAAGCAATAGCAACAGGTATTCTGTTAAGAAGAATCGGGGGTTGATATGGTTGTTGTGATGCTGTCTATCCTCTGCACACTGGCCCGCCACTCGACGGCCGCTCTGCGGTCCTAGTGAGGTCCAGTGGCATACAATAAAAGCGTATCCTGCATAGGTGTTGTTTGCGGACCTGGGAAGTTACCCATGGGAACCCATTGGCGTGTCTAGTGAATGTAGAGCTAGGTGCCTACACAGCTGGAAGTCAACTGTACTATTGTTTATCTGTGATTTACCTTAAAGATAGTTATGTCATGTGTGCTCCGTAGGTGTCTGGTGTCAGTGTGTTTTAGGATAGATTAGCTGTCACAGTTCCGTACCACGAGCCGCGTACCATCAAGGTCAATCAGAGATCGATGACACAATTCTAAAAATAAAATACTACACTTGCCGTGCCGGGAATCAAACCTGTCACTTCCAAATGGTGTTTGCTATAAAAACAAATGTACTAAGAACGTAACCAGCTAGACACCCCCCCCCCCCTCAAAAAAAAAAAAAAAGAGGTGCCATGCCTATCGTACAGCTTGAAATCCAACTATGTAATACGGACAGAATTCATCTCAATCCATTGAAAGGCACCAATAGGTTACAGAAATCTATATCAACCAACTATAGGCCGGAAAACAAATACAGCAACAACTGATGAACACATCAGACCGTAATGATTTGATTAGAATACAACAAACATTTAAGAAAGAAAAGGTTTCATTAGTATGTTGGTCATAACTAGAGAGACTGACTCAGCTAGGAGTGTGCATAGGGTCTGCGCTGTATTCAAAACTTGAGGGGGAAAACACTCTTACATGTGATTAGGTTGCAACTGACAGTTTGGGACCTTTTTATTAGCGACTATGGAAAGGGATATGTGGTAAAGGTAAAGTCGGGAAATGTGAACCAGCGTCATTGCACACGGTTATAAACCACAAGTACGGACAGCTGATAAAAATATGTCCGCCTGTGTCGCCGTCCGCACGCAACTCCTTAGTTACAACGACGTTCCTCTATTTACCCCAAAGTGTCAACTCTGGTACCCATTACCTAGAGACTGAATGAACCCCAAGAACCACCCTGTTTCGAACACCGGCCTTAGGCAGCTAGCCGCAGCTGGATTTGAAAGCGAGTCTCCTATCGACTACGCTAACGCGTTGGTGTGCGTGAATATCCCGAATGCTGTGATATCAGTTATTGGTTGATTAATAGGGATACTTTATTAATTATAAAAACAAATTTTTTGTTAGCATTTTTTTAAAACTATATCCATATCTCTTTATAGGTCAAGTGGTCTTCAGGACATGCAGCAAGACCCTCCAGACCAACTGCTCGTTGACGTTCATGGAAGGCGAATTCTACAACATCTGCCACGACTCTTGTGTCCAGGATGGTTGTAACGTGGCCTCGGCCACTGGGCTCAGCTTGCTAACTGCCGGACTGATCGGTTTGTTCTATGGATTATGACAGTAACTGTCTTATACATTAATTATAGCAGTGGGAGTTTATTCTGGACACAGTGCTAGTGTTCGTTGTGGCTGTGACAGTATGACACTAATTGTGAATTGCATTTATAAGAAATTGGTCTGTTTGCTACAAGGAGTCGTATGACATATTTGTCTTGCAAGGATTAGTATCGCGTCTGCTGGCTGATATGGATTAGAGAAATACATTCTTGCAGTAAGGATAAAGAAATACGTATTGCAATGATTGTGTAGTGACTGCTTGCTTCAAGAAATACAGAAACTACTTCTCTTCCAAGGATGAGAAAAACACCCACATGTTCCAAAGAACTGTGCAGTAGCTGTTTGATTAATGTATTTTAGACGTATGTGCCAGTACTAAGCGTCAGAGAACTCTCTGCCTGCTCAAAGGAGTAGAGAGCTATGTGCAGGTTCCTGGAATTAGGCGAAGCCTATTTTTTATGTAATGGCTAGAACTGTATATTTTTGCTTGAAATACTATGACTATATTTGGTTGCTGCAAGGATTGAGACAATTTCTGGTTTCTCTGAGAATTTGGACAATACCTGCTTGCTCCAAGTATTGCGACAATATAGGGTTGAACCAAGTATTGGGATAATACCTGCTTGCTCCAAGTATTGCGACAATATAGGGTTGAACCAAGTATTGGGGTAATACCTGCTTGCTCCAAGTATTGCGACAATATAGGGTTTAACCAAGTATTAGGGTAATACCTGCTTGCTCCAAGTATTGCAACAATATAGGGTTGAACCAAGTATTGGGGTAATACCTGCTTGCTCCAATTATTGCGACAATATAGGGTTGAACCAAGTACTGGGGTAATACCTGCTTGCTCCAAGTATTGCGACAATATAGGGTTGAACCAAGTACTGAGGTAATACCTGCTTGCTCCAAGTATTGCGACAATATAGGGTTGAAGCAAGTACTGGGGTAATACCTGCTTGCTCCAAGTATTGCGACAATACAGGGTTGAACCAAGTACTGGGGTAATACCTGCTTGCTCCAAGAATTGCGACAATATAGGATTGAACCAAGTACTGGGGTAATACCTGCTTGCTAAAAGTCTTGGGACTAAATCTCCACATTAAAATCATGTGCACAGTATCGGCCTTTTTCTCAGAGTACATCGGTGTCTGTTCCATAGATCAACGCCAGATCACGAACTGCAGGCATGACAATAATTGTTTGTTCCATTATTATAGCCGGATAGATGTGTTTCGTGGATTGTAGAATCCGCTAGTGCCTCAGCGAGAAATGAAAGTAGCATTTTGTTTCCATGGCAAATGACATAATCTGTTTGGTCATCAGATGGTGGCACTATCCAGGGTCTCACTGGATTACGGGTGTGTTTTACGGATGGTAATATTTGAAGTTCCCAAGATTATGTCTCTGTCTGCCCGCTCTGTGAGTGAGCATGCAGTTGCCTTCTTTTTCAATATTTTCAGGAAAGAATTCTATTTTATTCATTAAAAAAAATTACAAGATAAAAGCAATTGCGTGAGCATGGTTGTAAGCGAATGTTTCATAAAATGTGTATTTATTTGGGGTGAAATTCATAAGTATAATTAAAAACGAGTTGTTGTTTTAGTCCTTTGTTAAAGAGCGTTAATTTGTGCATACAGAATGAATGGGTTACTTTCCAGACAGTGTTCATTGTTGCTGTGTGGCTGGGCTGGGAACTCACTTGTCCATAAAGTAAAGCTCCGCCTTGAGGCAGGGGGAGACTAAACATACCGGCTAACTGAACTATCAGAGCTGTTTGGAAGAGTAGTGGAATTACTAGCAGATGTCGTGCTGATCTGGAGAATTCATTGTCTGCGACATAATATAGGATATCCACCACAAAAGGAAATTATAATAACAGGATTATGATTGTCTATCTATCTATCTAGCTATCTATCTATCTATCTATCTATCTATCTATCTATCTATCTATCTATCTATCTATCTATCTATCTATCTATTCTATCTATCTATCTATCTATCTATCTATCTACTATCTATCTATCTATCTATCTATCTATCTATCTATCTCTATCTATCTATCTATCTATCTATCTATCTATCTATCTATCTATCTAGCTATCTATCTATCTATCTATCTATCTATCTATCTATCTATCTATCTATCTATCTATCTATCTATCTATCTATCTATCTATCTATCTATCTATCTATCTATCTATCTATCTATCTATCTATCTATCTATCTATCTATCTATCTATCTATCTATCTATCTATCTATCTATCTATCTATCTATCTATCTATCTATCTATCTATCTATCTATCTATCTATCTATCCGATCTATCCATCTATCTATCTATCTTCTATCTATCTATCTATCTATCTATCTATCTATCTATCTATCTATCTATCTATCTATCTATCTATCTATCTACTCTATCTATCTATCTATCTATCTATCTATCTATTCTATATCTATCTATCTATCTATCTATCTATCTTCTATCTATCTACTATCTATCTATCTATCTCTATCTCTATCTCTGTCTCTCTCTCTCTCTCTCTCCTCTCTCTTCTATCTATATATCTATCTATCTATCATCTATCTACCTATCTATCTATCATCTATCTATCTATCTATCTATCTATCTATCTATCTATCTATCTATTCTATCTATCATTATCTATCTATCTATCTATCTATTTATCCTAATCTATCTATCTATCTATCTGGCTATCTATTCTATCTATCATCTATCTATCTATCATCTATCCATCTATCTATACTATCTATCATCTTATCAAAATCCTATTTTGTTTTTCTATCTATTATCTATCTATCTATCTCCTATCATCTATCTATCTATCT